TGGGCCACGCCCCCATGCATCCCCACGCCCGCCCCTCCAGACGGCTTACTTACCTCATATGCAGCTCATCTTAAACCAATAGAATCGCTCGGTGGACGAGAGTGTCTGACTCAGATATCTACCTCGGAGGGAGTTTCTGCTACTTTAGGGAATTATTGACTGGGCTTTGGGGTTGAACTTTTTTTTTTTTTTAAAGAAAGAAAAAGAAACCCTGGGATCCATCTGTTTTTTTTGTCGTTGTTGTTGTTTTTGGTGGTGGTGGTGGTTCTTAATTTTTAATTTAGTTTGGGGAAGCAGCTTTTTTTTTTATAAATATGTTGATTTCTTGTCTTTTTTTTTTTTAAATTTCTTACTTTCCCATATTAGGGGTGATAGCCAAAGGGGTCCTGGTAAGAGAAAGGGGGGACAAACAGAACTGGTGAAGAGGCCCTCCTGGCTCCAGGCCTGTCCATCAGGAAGTAAATTTTACAGGGCACCAAGCTTTGCCCCCTAAAATCACTTACGTGTTCTTTGCTCATGCAGGCAGTTTCTGCCGCATTTGGTGTGGAGGCAGTGAAGGGCTTGCCCTGCTGGCCTCTCATGCCCCTTCTTCCCACAAACCTTGGGCAGGGCTGGACTCAGTAATTTTGAGGAAATCGAAGATGCCATCTTCCCCTGTGAGTGACATGTCTTTAATTTTTTAAAAAACTACTATTTGAAAATTGGAGGGGGAAGAATGGGAAGGGAGTTATTGCCAAATATGTTAAATATGGGTTGGGGTGCTTGTATATGTATCTTCCTCAATTTCCCCAGAAATGAGGTATCTTTTTGTCACACCAAAATCAAGTGGTAGGGAGAGGGAGGAGGTTGCAAAAAGCCAGGTGTGGGGGAAAAGTAAAATCAACACTGTCCCATCCTCAGCCCTAAACCCTACCATCTGATCCCCTCAGACATTCTCAGGATTTTGCAAGACTGTCAGAGTGGGGAACCCCTCCCATTAAAGATCTGGGCAGGACTGGGGACACATTGGAAGTGTGATGGGTGGGGGGGTGGGAGGCATGGGCTGGGGGCAGTTCTCTCCTCACTTGTAAACTTGTGTAGTTTCACAGAAAAAAAACAAAATGCAGTTTTAAATAAAGAAGTTTCTTTTTTTCCTGGGTTTAGTTGAGAATTTTTTTCAAAAAACATGAGAAACCCCAGAAAAAAAAAAAATATATTTTCTTTCACGACGCTCCAAACAGGTTTCTCTCCTGTCCCCTAGCCTTGCCTTCACGATGCAGTCCCAATTGCACCCTTGCAAACAACAGTCTGGCCTGAACCCTATT